AAGGCTGTCAAGCTAACAAGCTAGCTAACTATTTTGGCTAGCTTAATTGTAAGGCTGCCAAGCTAGTAAAGCAGCAATTTGTTTACCGTTAGGTTGCCAGGCTAACAGGTTAGCTAACTGAACTAGCTAACAGTTAACCGCTAAGCTTCCAAGCTAACAGGTTAGCTACTTAAACAAGGTCCTGGTTCTTGGTTTTCAATTATAGCGTCTAATGTTGGACAGATGTTCTATTACCGTTATTTGTTTCACCTTTGACCAAAGGAGGTGTATTTTTTATATATTTTTACAATAAAATCTAAAAAAGCATTCAATTGACCTTTTTTCTCAAACTGCCTCTCGCAGATCATCCCTCACTTTGGTCCTCTGAACGGTCGGATCTCCGTGACCATCAAAGGCTCCAACATGGGAATAAAAAAGGAAGACGTGAAAAGGATCACGGTGGCAGGAGTGGACTGTGTCCACCTGCCGGACAGATACTCCGTCTCCACCAGGTGAGACGTTAACTCATCATTTAAAGACTACAGCCCGCTGAGTTTGTTAACCATTGATTTTTTAAATTATTATTGTGCATTTGTTTTAACCCAAGACTCCGTCATTTAAAGTCAAGGAGCAGATTCAAGCTCTTTTTATTTACCTAAACATGGCAACATGACACGAACGTCCAAACTTTCAGGGGTTTATCGCTGCAACTCTTTGTTCACTTCACCAGGGTCCATCCAATCACACGCGAGCATCATAAATGACTACACATGTTAACACCAGAACAATACAAAAATATAAACAAAAATCCATTTAAAGGAAATAATTGTAAAGATCCATAATAACCCTCATCTGAGCCCTCTTCGTAAAGATTTCTCCTCTACACCTGATGTGTGTGGGTTTGTATTGTTTTTGTTTGTTTATTTACTTGAACAATAAAGTTTTGGGTGAAATTTAGTTTTTAATGTTAAAGTTTAATCATTTTTCTATTTGGGTCAGAGCGTTTAGTACGAAGGTGATGATGGTTTGGGGAACTGAAAGGAACAATTTCTGACCTTTTATTGGCGTTTTACAAATAATGCTTCAGACATGGAAGTCAGACGGACGAAGAAAAACTGAACTCATTTAACTGTTTGGAGAAAATTGTACAGTTTAGATTTTTCCTTTAAGATGTTGTAAACTACAGCTCAGCAGTTACAGTTGTGTTGTAACTGACGTGAACTGTGTCCGCAGCGTGGTGTGCGAGATCGGCCCGAAGCGGACGCCGCCTCATGACCTCCCTCCTGAACAGACCGACCACGGACCGGTGGAGGTGGAGGTGGAAGGAGGAAGAAGAGGAACGTCTCGGGTTATCTTCACTTATCGGGTCAGTCTCAACAGAACTCTTTAGTTTTTCTTCTTCTTTCATTTCACATCGTTGGCTCCATTTTTTTTAAAAACTCAAATTGTCTTTTAACTTTATAAAAATAAGTATTGTAACTCTGGGCAGCGCAGTATTCACCATCAAGGGCTTGTTTCTAGTAAAGTCGGCGCAGGCAGCTACAGTTTTATTAATTTATTTTTGAGGTGTGGGTGTCTCTTCAGCCTGCTCACATGTGGATCGACTGTTGTGTACCAGATGTTTACCCGTGGACAACACGAACATGTCTTTGAATTTAATTCAGTTTATTTATATAGCAACAAATCACAACAGAAGTCGTCTCAGGGCACTGAACAAAAACGTTCTTATACATAAAAATCAATTTGTAACATTTTCTGATGCATGCTCAACAATCCAGGTAGAAAAATCTAACAAATGTAGTCAGGTCCATTTGTTTTGATTTAGTAACATTATTTATGTGAGGAAGCAGCAGAGTGTGTTGAATCTTCACTTCGTCACAGTCTCCCATCCTGAGCGAGCACGATGGAGACAGTGGAAAGAAAAAACTCCTTTTAACAGGAAGAAACCTCCATCAGAACCAGGCTCAGGACGAGCGCCCAGCTGCTTCGACCAGTTGGGTTTGAGAAGACAGGAAGTAGAAGCAAACGCAGAATGACTGGTCCAGAACGGAGGTGCGCAGGTTCCTCTCTAGGAGGGAAAACAAACAACAAAAAAACACTTAAAAATAGAAATAATTACGAATAAAACTATTCATTTGTATTACTTTGTCACAAATCATTTAAGGAAATGAGGTCAATTTGTCCTCCAGTAGTCTAAGCCTATAGCAGCATAACAAGACAACCCTAACTATATGATTTATCAAACAGGAAAGTCTTAAAACTGGACAATACGTCAGCCTCACGGACAGAAACTGGAAGTTGGTTCCACAAGAGAGGAGCCTGAGAACTGAAGGATCTTCCTCCCATTTGGCTGTTGGAAACTCTAGGAACCACAAGTAAACCTGCAGCCTGAGAGTGAAGTGCTCTGTTAGGAAAATATGGAACAATAAGATCTGTAATATAAGATGGAGCTAGGTTGTTGAGGGCTTTGTAGGTTAGAAGTAAGATTTTTAATTCAATTCTGGATTTGACAGGGAGCCAATGGAGATAAACTAAAACTGGAGAGATATGATCTCTCCCAGTAACTCCAGTTAAGACTCTGGCAGCAGCATTTTGGATCAACTGAAGACGTTTTAAAGAAGTATTTGGACACCCAGATAATAAACCAGTGCAATAGTCCAGTCTAGATGTGACAAATGCATGGACCAGTTTTTCTGCATCATCTTTAGATCAGATGTTTCTAATTTTAGTGGAAGAAGGTGGTTCTTGTAACGTTTTTAATGTGGGGGATAAAAGACACGTCCTGATCAAAAATAACACCAAGATTTTTAACATTAGAGCTGGAGGACAGATTAATGCATGTAAGGAGGGAGAAAGACTGAAAGATTAATTCGTAAGGTGCTCCGGTCCAAAAACTAAAACCTCAGTTTTGCTCCTTTACATCCAAACTGAATCTTCTGTTTTGTCTGAGTCTGGACTCCACAGCTGAGACGGAGGCGCCTCTTCCTGCTTGATCACAAACAATATTTCAGAGTCTTCATCTTTAGAAGGAACATAGTGAGCTTGTAAAAACTCTAAACCCAGAAGTGAAGATAAAAAACTGTCTCTGAGAGGAAAGCACTGATTTATACCACGATAGGTATAGGAATAAAAAGGCATTTATAAAGGGTTTCTATAGGCTCTATTTGTTTCTGAACGGGGATGCTAGAGGGCAGTAAAGTGAGGGGAGATTATGGGACCATTTGAAATGAGTTTTTTTTACCATTGTTCAAAATCAGTTGTTATTAATGATGCTAAAAAAACTAAATGAAGAAAGAAAAACATGAAGGAAAGTAATTCTGTGACTGATTATCCCCCTACAAGATTAAATCATTAATAACAAGTTGTCACACACACTAACCAATGGGAGAGTTTTCCCTCCTGACAGGTTGTTTTATTTAAAGTAAAAACATGACAAACTCATTAAAGACGGCGTGAGCTGGACCTCTGGACTCGTGTTTGGCCTCCTGATGGGGCTTGTTGTTGAAAGTGTTTGTTTACTCAGCAGGGCTCCCAGTTTTCTGTCGGCCACACAACGATCTGCTCCTCAGCAGCACGAACCGTGCACGTTTAACGCAGCATCACTTACCAAAGCCAGGCGTTAAGACTCGGCTTGATCGTGTTTTATTTTCGTTCTTTCCTCTGACAGTTGTTGTTTTTTCCATTAAACGCCGCCTCACTGCTTCCTGCTACCTAAATGATTTTGGTTGAGCCGCAGGAAGCTTTTAAAAACCGTTAAATCTGCCGCCGTGCAGCCAGCGCCGCACGCGGGTAATAAAATACGTCGTGCGGAGATCAAACCCCAGAAACATGAAGAGTTTCTGATGAAGTGAAAATAAAATAAACCCTCCGACGCAGGAGAAGACAAATCACCCGCATGTAAATTCAAGTCTTGGTGTTTCTGCCCACGAACAACGAGCGCAGAAAAAAACGGTTCCGTTTGTTTCCTCGGTTCTGCTCAGCACTTCCTCTAAACGCCGTCCGTTTCCCTCTTGGTTTGGATGGAGGTGACACAAAGCAGCAAACCACTGAGACGACGACCGACGTCCTCCAACAGCAGAGTTCATGTCTGGTTCACCTCAGAGAAACGTTGAAGCCAAGGTAGCAGCAGCTAGCTGTAGCACTTCCAGCACAAACTGCATCGTATTTCTGCCAAAGGAAACATTGGAGTGAAGTGTTTCATCAGTGGGGGGGATGGAGGTGCTTTGAAACGTTGGTTTGGTTCAACCTGGACTCCAATTGTTTTAAATTAAAAACTGTTCACGCTAACGTTAATATCCAAACATTTACACCTCTGCCAGTCGCTCATCGTGAAGTTATTCTTTCTGAAGCATTTTAAGACCCAGGGAAGGCACTTTGCTCTCGGTTGTGTTCAGTTTAGCTGTTAGCTCATTAACCCAGGCAGAATTAAATCTGTTCTCCAAAATGAGACCATTCAGAGAGTTATCTACTACAGGTAAGATATTTGTTTTGAACTCTCCACAGAACCCCACACGAGTCGATCTATCCCTGGTGCCAACAACTCACAATGTGACACAAATTTCAACAATTGTTGCATTTTAATGTTCTTTTTATAACTTGGGACAGATTGGACATGTCGTCTGTCTTATTTGTACATTTGTCTTCCACATCGTACGTTTTATTTTACCGGCTCCTCATAGTTTGTTGCACCTGATCATTTCCTGTCTTCTGTCCAGGATCCAAACCCAAAGGAGGTCCATCCAGCGAAGGGTCCAGCAGCTGGAGGAACCGACATCACCATCGAAGGGGAACATCTGGACACGGCGACGATGGATGATGTCGCCGTCTCTGTCGGGAACGTTCCCTGTGAAGTGTAAGCAGTAAAGTTTATTTACTCACCAACGATTATTAAAACCTGCCTTCACGGTTTTCCTCGTTTGTTTGTTTTCAGCTTGTCGTTTGGTAAAACCATCACCTGCAAGACCGGCAAATATCGTGGCCAGAAAGTTCCCTCGGACCCGCTAACGGTGACGGTGAAGTACGGAAAAAACACCACCAAGGATGTCCCAGCAGCGTTCCAGTACGCAGAAAACCCCAAAATCACAAATTTTGACCCCAAATCGAGCTTCGTTTGGTGAGTTGGTTTCATCAAATCTGTGATTTAGAATTTCACATTTTATAAAAGTTCCAGTAGAAAAGTCTCCACATGCTGTCATTTATTTGTAAATGTTTTATAATTTAAAGATATTCTTGTTTGTTTTTTTGCAATATTTAGTACTGCCATACCAAGAACACCGTTCAGTTCTAGATATCTGCCACAGCTAATCAACCCTTTCAAAATTGGCTAAATTTGGTTCCTCTTGGCTAAAGTTTTCCTAACATTACTTAAGCTAGACTGGAAGTTTAGCTAAGTTTTTCTACATAAATAAGCTTTTGATCTAACTGATTAATATAGCTTTGTATATATCAGATTATAAATTTATTTATGATATTTATTAGCTAATGAGCCAGCTAACAAATTTAGCTCAATTAATAGTTGAGCTAAATATATTAGCTAATAAGCTAGCATGCACACTTTGATTAGATTTATCAAAACATTCTTGAAAATTTGATTGATGACTAGCTAGATGGCTAATTCAGCATACTTGTATACAACACTAAGTAACTTATGTTTCGCTAAAATTACTAGCTAATAAACTAGATTAAAGTTTAAACTGTTATTGCTTGCTAAGTTAGTTGTGACTAACCGCATTTTTATTAACATTTGAGCTAACTGGCAAATATAGCTAAACAAATCCTAATTTAATAGCAAATAAGTAAACTGGCAACTAGCTAATGATCTAACTGGTAAATATACAGCTAAATAAAGCTAACTTTACTGTATTAGCAAATGAGCTAACTGGCAGCTTTAGCTAAATCAACTAGCTAATGAGCTAACTGCTAACAAAAAGCTTAAATCACTACTTAACAAACTAAATGCTTAATAAAGCTACATTTACTCGCTAATGAGTTAATCGCTAAATAATGTTAAATTTACTGTATTAGCAAATGAACGAACTGGAAATTTTATCTTAACTTACTAGATAATGAGCTAGTTATCAAATTTGCTCAATTTACTAGTTAATGGGCTAATTGGTAAATTTAGCAAACTTCACTAGCTAACGAACTGACCGCTAAACAAAGCTAAATTCGCTAGCTAATGGATTAATTAGCATATTGAACCACAGTTTATTCACTAATTAATGAGATGGTTTGCAAAATTAGCTAAAATTACTAATTGAAGAGCTAGCTGGAGAATTTAACTTGACGACTGTAACTCAGTCATTTTTGCAGATATTGACAAAAAATTGCAGGGTAGTAGCTGACAGTCATTCTTTAATCTGTAGCTTTAATTAGTACATTTTATTGGGGGACTAGTTTTACAGCGTGAATTTGTTTTTAAATACAAATATCATACAATGTGCAAATGTACATCAAAGCATTACAAAGTGAACTGTGCACACGGTTTGTGTTGATGTATGTGATGTGTGTTTGTAGCGGCGGTCGAAGGGTCAGGGTGAGAGGAATCGGGTTTGATCTCATCCAGACGGCCAAGATGAAAGTCCTGCTGACGGACGACTCCGTCAACACAACCCCTGTGGAGGTAGGAGGCTTTACTTTTCCAATCATCTTAGTCTGAATAAAAACCTTTCACGTCTTTGTAGGGATTCACAACTGATCATCCAAATGAAGTATTTATTAGATTTATGGTGAAGAGTTTAGTTTTTTCTGGGTTTGGATGCACATCGGTCGTAACAAGTAGCAGTTTATAATTTCAAGAAGCGATAACGGTATGAAAAACCCAAAGTGTGACCCAGTTCCCAGCTGAAGCCCGTCGCTGAGCAGTCGGCGCGTGCCGGCCGGTTGTCTGGTGGAATTGATTGAAAGTCCAAGTGATAAAAGTCAGAGCAGAGGTGGAAATACGACTGAAGTGTGGCAGCGATCAATAGAAGTGACGGCAGATGAATGGGCTTTATTTTACTGTTTAAATTTGTGCTGTATTTGCTTTTTTACGCCTCCCTCGATCATTTGTTCCCCTGAGAGCTTTCTGTTTGTTGACGTTTATTTTTCTTCCTGCATCTGAGACCAGGGTCTCTGTTTTATTGTTTTATTCTACTTATTGTAAGCAATAACTTTCTAGTTTTGAATATAAATGCTTTTTACGTTGTAGCGCTGGACGTGATGATGATAATGTTGGTCGAGCTGCTGCTTTCATTTTAATAATGAAGTGGTTTCCTAACCGTCTGTCCTGTAAGCTCCTGAACATGATCCTCCTTTTGGCTCATTTAAATAAATTTAGCAACATTTCTAAGCTGATGAACTAGCTTGCAAAGTTATCCAAAATTAGCTAACTTTGCCAACTAAGACATATTTACCCTGTAATGAGCTGCTTTAAAAAGTAGCTAAATGTTATTAGCATATGAGCTAACTGGTACCATAGCTAAATTTAAAAGCAAATAAACTAAATGCCAAAGTCAGCTACATTTACAAGCTAATAAGTTAGCATGCTAAATTAGCAATTTAGTAGAATTTACTTAAAGAGCTAGATAGATAAATTTTATATTTAGTTATCTGGTTAATTTAGCTACAGTTATCAGCTAATTAGCTAAATGAGATCATGCTAACTTTAGGTGATCCTAATAGCTAACGTGGTCACTGGAAAATGTAGCTGATGAGGTACAAAGTAAATATAGCTTCTTTTTTAACCATGCATGTATATTTGCTATTAGCTTAGCAGCCAGATTTTGCTAAATGTTGAGCTTATGAGCTAAAGGATAAATTGAGCAAACACTGCTTGTTAGCAGGTTAACTGCTAACCCAGCTAAAATCTTGTGAGCTAAATTTTAAAGCTAACAGGTTAGCTCACAAATTAGCAAATGCTAAAATTAGCTAAAATGTTTAATTTGAGATAACGTGCTAGATGCTAAAGATAGCTAAATTTGAAATGTAATGAATTAACTTGTAAGTAGCTGAATATACTAGATATTGAGCTAAAAGGGAAATGTAGCTAAGTTTACTTGCTAATCAGTTAGCCCACATATTTAACTGCAGTTTTTAGCAACGGAGCTAACCGGTAGCTGTAGCTAAATTTATTTATTTGAGTCGGTTGAAAATTTGCAGCTGGTTAAAAGTCCTGCTTGTTTTTTTCTATTTACTCATGTTTGCTAACAAACATTTTTGCTTCTAATTTAGCTACTTGTGGTAATTTTATCAGCTAATGGTTCATATTATGGGTGGTTATTTGGGTTTTTGCTTTCTATCGGCTAAAACAGAACATATGAACCAACAAACGACCAGAACGGCTGAAAAAATAACAATATGAGAAATAAAAATGGTGTTTTATACGTCTTACTCTCTTCACGCCTCTAAAGTAAGACGACACCTTACAGAACATAATGTGGGCTCTTGTCTTTAACACGTGCAAAATGTCAGCTTGATGAGTGTCGGTCTGCAGAACCAGCAGCTGTTTTTCATTCAAAGCAGAAAGCCTGAAGTGGAGGAAGCCGGGCGGCGCTTCCATTTCACTGCTGAGTAGCTTTGAGTGACAGAGTCTCTCAGGAAGGACTCGCTGCAGGGGAGAGGAGGTGAAGTCGCTTTATTGTCGTTTCATCAAAAGTTGCTGTCTGGTTCAGGAAGATTCAGCGGGGGTGCTCAGCGGGGAGCCTCACAGAGCGAGGAGAGACTAGAAGACCAAAGAAAAAGTTACTTCTGTGTCTGAAACTTTAGACACAACCGTGAAAATTACTCTGTTGTTGCATTTTAATCATATTTTTCCGTCGTTTTTCTCTGCGTCCCTCAGTTTTTCGAGGATGCCCTCAGTAAGAACGACACCGTCATCGAGTTTTACTCCCCGAAGGTGAGCTGCTGCGAGGACGGTCAGTCCCTGAGGACGGTCGTGCAGCTGGACAACATGGAGGAGGACCTGAAGGGCTTCGAGTATCATCCCGTCCCCTCCTTCGACAAGCTCTCCAAGAACGTCATCACAGATACGAGCGTCATCATCGTGAATGTGAGAGCAACAGTTCGGGTCCAACACCGACCCGTAAAATAAAATCACTGCAAATTTAAATGGAGACAAACTTCCTTTAGCTGATAAAGGATTAAAGTGCCAATCTGTTTATAGCTGATTAACAAAACAGGCGAAGCTGCAGTTTTATCTGAAGAATCCTTTTCTGTGGCAACAATTTCAAACTCAAACTAAAGAAACTTTTATTAAAATATCAGCTGAACTTTATTGAAGCAGCTGAAATTGAGTTGTAGAGCTAAAAGAAGCAATTCACTAGCTAAAAGTTAATAGAAGTAAACTGAAAGCTTTAAGCTAAATCACAAATCAGTTAAAAGCCTCAATGATTTGAACACTAGCTAAAAGTAGCAGAAGGCTAGATAAAAGCTAAATTGCAAATACTCCTTAAAAGTAAAAAAAAAAAAATCTAAAGCTAGCTAAAAGGAGTAAACCACTAGCTAAAAGCTTTTAATGCTAGCTTAAAGCTCAAAATAACAGACCACTGCCAGTACTTAAATGTAACAAAGCATCAGCTAAAACCTAAAAGAAAGCATGACAAGTTAAAAGGATCAAAACATCTGCTAATAACTTTTAAAAGCAGAACAACAGCTAAAACTTAGAATAATCAAATTGCTAGCTAAAAGCTAATATTAGGAATAATTGCAAGCTAAAAGTGATGAAATGTTAGCTGAAAGCTGATTGTAGCTAAGGCTAACGTAAAGCACAAAGTTGAAGAACACTAGCTAAACATGCAAATTATCAGCTTAAAGCTAAAAGTTACTATATGCTAACTACGTTTAGCTAGAAGGATAGCTAAAAGTCAAATGTAGCTAAATCTACTTCTTTTGACTTTTCCTTCTTCACTAGTCCACAATGAGTCCATCTCACTCTGTCCTCACTCCAACTACCTCCATGTCCTCTCTACCTGCATCCATATATCTCCTCTTTGTCTTTTTCCTGGCAGCTGCATTTTTAACATCCTTCTACCAATATACCCACTGTCCCTCCTCTGGACATGTCCAAACCACTGTCCCTCCTCTGGACATGTCCAAACCACTGTCTCTCCTCTGGACATGTCCAAACCATCTCAGTGTGTCCTCTCTAACTTTATCTCCCAGTTGTTCAATCTGTGCTGTACCTCTGATGATCTCAGTCCTAATCTTCTTGTCTCTCCTAAGGAGAACCTCAACATCTTCATTTCTGCCACTTCCAGTTCTGTCTCCTGTCTTTTTGTCCATGTCTCTGTCTCCTGTCTTTTTGTCCATGTCTCTGTCTCCAGACCATACAACACAGCTGGTCTCACCACTGTCTTGTTAACTTTTCCTTTGATCTTTGCTGACACCCTTTTGTTGCAAATCACTCCTGAAACTTTTCTCCATCCACTCCATCCTGCCTAGACTCTCTTCTTCTCCTCTTTACCACACTCCTCATGTTCCTGGACAGTGGACCCCAAGTCCTTGAAGTCCTGACCTTTGTGACCTCTGCTCCTTGTAGCCTCACTGTTCCACCTCCTCCCTCTCATTCACACATGGACTCTGTCTTACTACAGCTGACTTTCATTCCTCTTCTTTCAAGTGCATACCTCCACCTCTCCAAGTTCTCTTCCACCTGTTCCCTGTTCTCACCACAGATCACAATGTCATCTGCAAACATCATCGTCCACAGGGATTCCTGCCTGACCTCATCTGTTAGTCGGTCCATCACCAGAGCAAACAAGAAGGGGCTCAGAGCTGATCCTTGATGTACTCCCACCTCAACCTTGAAGCTATCGGTCACTCCTACAGCACATCTCACCACTGTCCTGCTGTCCTCATACATGTCCTGCTGTCCTCATACATGTCCTGCTGTCCTC